AAAAAAAAAGCGACAATTATCTTGCTCGGAGAAAATGTAGAAGAAGATCGTTAAAATTAGATAGCCAAGTGAGAAGCAAACTTGATTAATAACGAGAAGTAAGATTTTGGTGGTAAAATTCGACGTTAATTGCTAGGTTTATTATTATTATTACTATTACTACTACSACGTTTGTTTGTTTASAGGCTATCATTGAAACATCTACTAAAATAAATGTGAATAGTAATGTCGCAGTTTGGTAGTTCATTTTGTTTTGAATACAAAATGTCACGAGTTTCGATCTAGTCATTCCTACCTGTTACTTCTCCTTATGATAGTAACGAGGGATCTATTGAGATCGATTCGAATTAAACATGCAGAATCTTTTAGTGTTCAAACTCAACTTTTGAAATGATAGAGGTATTTTTTAGATAGGTGACAAAGTTTAGGAATATTTTTGTAATTTAACCTACACATAATATAATTGTGACGAGAGAATGATAATAACTACTTTTGGTTGGTTTAATGAACAAGACTTGAATTATTAACCTTGAAATGGTAATAAATATTTTATATATATAACTATGTTTAGATTGAGAGTGATAATAAATATTTTATTTACTTAACTAAATTCGGACACAATGTACTTAACTAAATACCTATTTTTATTTTTTTTACAACAACCTCCCTTTATATGATATTTTTATTTCTATTTGTAAGTTCATTTCAAATAATTAAATAATTGTTTTTCTCATATAATTATATTAAAATTTGATTGTATTGGTTAACTATTTACTCAAGAAAATACAACTTTAAGAGAAGACATGGCTAAAATCAAATGAAAACAATATAGAATAGAAGATGAAGAAGTGGAATAGGAATAAAAAGAGAGAGGAAAAAAAAAGGATAAAATATTTTATCTCGAAAGTATAGATAATTAAGAAAGAGAGAATATAATTTAAGAAGGAAAAAGAATATCATATGGGAGGATTTTTAACTCTTAAAGTTTGAAGGATTCCACTTTACTTATATACTTCATTTGTAATATACAAATGACACGTGGCGTAAAATTAATGGAAGTTGTTTGATCAGACAATTTCGCGAACGTCAGATCAGCTAGGATGAGTCTGCAAAACAGAGTGAACACTCAAATGCCAAAGTCAGCAAATGTCTAAATCAACTCGAGAGAGAGAATCAGATTGTTCGCATACCTTAAAATGAAGCAGAGTGGTTCTATTTATAGGCGAGGTCCCCGACAAAGTAACCGTGAAATACAGCGTGATGTAACAGAATTTGTCGAAGAATGTGCTGAGCCGAAGTGGAAGAAAATAGTTCAATTGTGCTTATTTGATCGGCTCGACCGATGGAGAAGGTCGGCTCAACATGTTAAATCATGACCGAAGCAAGTAAACAGACATCCATCCAGTCATAACATGTCACATGTGAACTGAGAAATCACCTCCAATAAAAATAGTATGGAACATTTTTATGACTATTATAGGAATAGAAAATTTTCAATCTACACATATGTTTAATTAAAAATAGAGGTTTGTACCAAATTGATAATATTTCTTGAAAGAAAACACTAACATCTGAATTTTGTGAGTCTTGGGAGTTCTAGAGATTTATCCCAATTTGCTGGGCTTGAATTTTTGTTGGAATTGGCGAGTGTTTGGAGATTTTTATGTCGTTTTATGTTAAAATTAGTAGGTGAATATGAAAGCGTAAAAATGGTAAAACTTATCAAAATATACTATTTAATTTGATGATATTACTATATTAGAAGTTGAAAATTTTTTTTTAATTAAGCCTGTCAAATATAACAATAAAATTTTCATATGAATTTTTTTTTATTTGAGTACAAGCTGTGAGAGTGAGCACCTGAATTAATTAGATATAAATTCAATAAAAAGATAAAAATATATATATATATATATTGGTGAAGTAAATAAAGACAAATTTTCTATAAAAAAACAAATAAAGAGATATACAATTTAATTGAAATATAAAATAA